TGGGATACGGTAGAAGAAATATGTACTTTCGTCTGTTGTTTTATGATGACACACGTAACATTTTCCGCCCTACTGAGCGAGGGCCGTGGAAAATGCTTGTTCCAGAAGTTGTTGTATACTAGTATACAACTTCTTCCCGTCCAAGTGATTGTGCACGCGTTAAGGAATACCTCAGTACCGATTGCCGGGTGGCGGTACAAGTCCGTCAACGGGCCACTTTAGGTCTATTTAACATCACTAACACGTAAAAAGAAGGTGGTAGACCCGCTAGCTTTTCCCAGGGTGTCTTATAAATGTCCGCATTATTCCACACCTAAGCTATGCAGTCGGTTATCTACCAAAACAAAGAAATTAATGATGATGGATCCCTCGAGCACTAAAAACTCCGGACGTAAACTCACTCCACTCTCGGAATGTCCGGGTGGAGGGTGGGCTCGAGGGAACAACATCGAAGATAAAATTTGTTTTTCGAACATCTGCGGGATCAACAGCAACATTGATGCTGTTCATCACTACCTGCAATCCAATCGTCCCGCCGTGCTTTTCTTGGCGGAGACAAAAATCTCAGAGATTGCACCGATTAACCATCTCAACTTCCCAAACTACGAGGTGCACTCCAATCTAAGAAAGAACGGGGGAGTTGTGGCTTTTGTCCGCAGCAGTCTTTCCTGCTCCAGGGATCTTTCTTTGGAATCAGACCGGAAGGACATTCTGTGGCTTCGCCTCAACTCCAAAACATCACCCAAATATATTTGCTGCCTTTATCGCTCTCCCTCGAACCATAACTGGGATGACCTACTCGAATACCTCGCCGTCCAGATCGACTTCCTGAACGTCAATCACCCCGCTTCAGAGGTAGCTCTTCTCGGTGATTTCAATGCCCGAAATGAGCTTTGGTTGGGCTCAAATAAGACCGATGCAGCAGGTCGTGCAGTCGAAGCGTTCGCTCTTACTCAAGGGCTGACCCAGCTGGTGACGAGCCCTACTTTTTTCCCCCGCGTCTCGTCACACGCCAGTAGCCTGCTGGCTGCTGGATCTCTTTCTGATCTCGCATCCTGCCCCTTACAGCACTGCTGTCCTGTCCCCCCTGGGTAACTCAGATCACGGTGTTGTGGAGGTTAGGTTTCGGTCAGAAGCCGCTGTGGCAGCAGAAACTCGCACAGGCCGCAAAACTTGGCATTACGGACATGCCGACTGGGAGGGGCTCAGAGACTTCTTCTCTAGCTTTCCTTGGAGAGATGTCTGTTTCACTGACGCGGATGCGTCGACTGTCTGTTCTTCAATAACCGAAATTATCCACGTCGGAATGGAGGAATACATCCCTCACACAGTGAAAGTTCCTAAACCAGGGCCCAACGGCTGGTTCAACAAATCGTGTGACACTGCTCGCCAGCAGAAGATCAAGGCCCACAGAACCTACTTACAAAACCCCACTGTAGAGAACAGACAAGCCGACGTCGCCTCCAGAAACAAATATAACGAAGCGATACGCAATGCCAAAAACCAGCATGATATAAAAGTTAGGCACAGGGTAATGTCGCAGCGCAATGGCAGTCGGTCTTTCTGGACGCTGGCCAAGCAGATTGAAAAGAACTTCTCCCACAGTAGCCTTCCACCACTTACGTGTCAGGATGGAACTATTGTATTCGACTCAAAGGCCAAGGCGGAAGTGCTAGCCAAGATCTTTGCTGCCAACTCCATCATGGACGTCCCCACCAACGCCCAAGTGCCGTCAATTCAAAGGGTTCCCCACACTATGCGGGAGGTAACATTCAGGCATACGACCGTAAGACGAGTGCTCTTGTCGCTCGACATCAACAAAGCTTCTGGTCCGGACTTGATTCCTGCCATTGTACTGAAGAGATGTGCAGCGGAGCTTGCACCAGTTCTTTCGCGTCTCTTTCAGATATCTTATGAATCCGGCACCTTCCCTGAAAACTGGAAATTTGCTCATGTACAGCCCATCCCAAAAAAAGGATCTAAAACCGACCCTTACAACTACAGGCCTATAGCTCTGCTTTCTGTTACAAGTAAAGTGATGGAGAGGTGCATAAATCGCGAGCTTCTAGACTACCTCGAACGTCACAGCTTGATTAGCGACAGGCAGTACGGTTTCCGGCACCAACGATCCACAGGGGACCTCCTAGCTTACGTCACGCAACTGTGGAGTAAACTCATCCAGTCTCATGGTGAGGCTCATGTCGTTGCTCTTGACATCACGAAAGCGTTCGATCAGCTGTGGCACGCTGCCCTCTTAAGCAAACTTCCATCCTACGGCCTCCCAGAAAAGCTTTGCAGATGGGTGGCTGACTTTATCTCTGGCCGCAAGATATCCGTCGTAATTGACGGATTCTCCTCTTCATCGCACAACGTCAACGCGGATGTTACCCAGGGATCGGTCTTGGCTCCAACACTGTTTCTCTTACATATCAACGACCTCCTTTCCTGCACGATCAACCCAATCCACAGCTTCGCTGATGACAGCACTCTACATGCAGGAATTCAGAGTGACAAGCCGATGTCTGCCGCTGAGCTGGAAAAAAGAAGACTAGCGACGACTTCTTCTCTGACAAGAGACCTGGAAGCTATCACTGCTTGGGGACGCAACAATCTTGTACAGTTCAATGCTTCCAAAACACAGTACTGTACTTTGACGAACAAAACACGTCCTAGCGCTCATACAGTTTCGATGGACGGTCAAGTTCTACCAAAGAGCCATTCATTTCGGCTGGTCGGAGTCCAGATCACCGAGGAACTGATCTGGCACGAACACATCTCTTCAATAGCTGCAGCTGCTGGGAAAAAGCTAGGCTATTTGTTTAGGGCTAAGAAGTACTTTTCTCCGCATGACCTTCTCACTCTATACAAGGCCCAGATAAGGCCTAGCCTCGAGTATTGCTCACACATTTGGGGTGCTGCCGCCCCGACTACATTGTCCATGCTCGATGCTGTCTAGAGGAGGGCGGTCCGACTGATCGATGACTCTTCTCTAACAGACAGTCTCGGGACTCTTTCGCACCGGCGGGCCGTCGGCGATCTAGCTCTTTTCTATCGCTACACCAACGGGCTTTGCTCCTCAGAGCTCTCTTCCATGATGCCGCCGCGCGATGTGCCTGCCAGACAGACCCGCCTAACTTCGGCGTCCCATCCTAACCGTGTCAAACTTCGTACATCCAGAACTGGCCGATACGACCGCTCCTTTGTTCCGAGGGTGTCTAGATTGTGGAACAATCTACGGGAGGAAGCTTTTCCCAGTTCTACTAACCTTAGGCAGTTCAAAAATCGTATTAACAAAATTTCTTTGGGATCATCATAGCAGCCGCGGTGTTCCGGCATTTAGGCTTTGGCCTGCGCGGCTGTTTCGATATAAAAAAAAAAAAAACTTCATTTTATAATTTTTAATTCGCGCAACTCCTCAATTATAGACATGATTTCATTATTATGCCCGTTATTACCAGCATACGCAGAAGCGATGAGCAAGCGCAATCGATTGACCAACTCATTGGGATCATCAAAATACACATACTCAATTGGTTTCGGGGAATACTCTAATATACCACCCCTTACATGTTTGAATGATTGTGATCTGGGTCGAGCTTTAGGAGGTGCCGGTTCCTGAAAAGACCCCGTTTTGCTTGCACCCTCAGCGGATACTTTTATTAGATTGTGTTTTACTAAATATGGTCGAATTATTGTTTTATACTTGAAAGTGTTTACTCCTTGAATTTGTAAATTAGAATCAAAATTACGTCGATATGCATTGGTCCGTTTTAGCATATCCATGTAGTGCTCCAGATCGGTCTGTTTATATCCACGAGGGTCTTTCTTGAACAACAACTCGTACAGACCTGGCGTTCCTGGATATCTGATATTGTCTAAGATTAGATCCGACTCCTCGAGGGTTATTGGGGTATTCCCCAATTTTAATTTTTCGCCGATCCAATCGTGTGTTATACCGTGATATCGATCAAAATTCTCTTCATCCCCCCGTATAGACTCATCGATATATTGACGAGGTAATGGATGGAACTGTTCTAAATAACTTTGATAACCAGGTGTTTTGCTTAGGCGCCGAAACTCTTCCCGTGTGTGAGCAATCATTTGCTCGTCAACATCACGTTCTCGTTCTAGTACTGTAGCATCGGGACGTGATTCTTCTATCCCGGAAACGTCTTGTAAAATAGAGTGCTCGGGAAGGTTAGAGAATGTGTCTTCAAGGAAACTTGTAGTACTGGGGAGGTATCTATTGTATATATTTGTCGGTGTTAATTTCTGTAAAAGTGGTGATTTCTGAGGTGTTGATGTTTTAGATTCGAATTTCCAGTTCTCTGGTTTTACTTTGACTGGCTCTACTTTTTCAAGTAACTGCTGCAGCGGTTCCGATATAGGTTTCCACTGCTTTTGCAATTGGGTTTCCGATTGGGCAATATCCGACTTTAATGCTCGATACTTTTCTTTGACTGCTTGTCTGGCTTTCACCAATTCCTTTGCAATTTTTGGATCCATATCACGTATTATGGAGAGGCTGGCGTAACACTGGTACTGCTAATCTTACACGCTCTTTATATACCACACTATAGGTATACATACTTGTCGAAACCTTTCCGATACCTCCCATTATTTTTGGGTGAATCTTTATCAACCACAACAAAACCGTATGGTTCCTGCCAGCACAGTGAGCAAAGATCTTTAAACTGTTGAAACGACATATCCAAGCTAATGTGATCATCGTAAATATGCTTCAAATTTAATGCATCCTGTGCTAAAAGTATGAGAAGATTTGCATTATCTCTTAATAACTGCTTGGGAATTGCTGTGTATGTTTGACACAGGTAGAAGCAATCTGTATTTTTGTGTCGCCCAAAACTAAAGTACTGACGCATTATATCCTGATTACATGATGCAATATCATCAAAAATCATAATCGCATTTGATTCGATTTCCGCTGGAGGTTTAATATCATCACCGTTCGTGTACTCGTAATATCCTATCTCTTTTAGAGATTCTAAAACTGAGCGAAGAAATTGATACTTTGTTTGGTAGGGTGATTTACAAAACAAATAGACATTTTCATATCGTAATCCGTGAGGGTGTATTAATAGGGTGATCATGATATTAGTCTTTCCAGCACCACTATTACCAACAATTAGAGCCCGTTTAGAAGCACCATTGAACACACTTTCATGTTTTCGGAACGTTTTTTCTTGCACTATTCCATCGTAATTATCTACCTGAAGCTTTGGTATCGTCTGCTTGATTCTCATGATGTTGTGTGATTACTAGTAGCCATCCAAATGGACTCCTATATATAGTACCTCCCGCTCTATTCGTAATAAGAGTATATAATGATTGTGCACTCCACCATGACACGTACTTTCCAGCAGACACCGATCGTGCGAGGTCGCGGCCTCATTTCCAACGTAATAGAAAATCTCCCTTTCGAAGCCCACATCCCAGGTTACAATTTCTGTGGCCCGTCAACCAAACTGCAAAAGCGTCTTCAACGAGGAGATGTTGGTATAAATCCACTTGACGAATTTTGCAAACAACACGACATTTTCTATTCTCAGCAGAAAGGTCTCACTGCGCGTCAACAAGCGGACAAACTTTTGGCTGATCAAGCTATACAGCGAGCCTTCGCATCCGACAGCTCTTTTGGAGAACGAATGGCAGCTTTGGGAGTTGCTGGAGCAATGAGAGCTAAAAAAAAGATGGGTTTTGGCCTGCGAAAACATCGTACACAACAAAGAAAGAAACGTTTGAACAAGATGGGAAAGGGTTTGCGGAAAAAATCACCAAAATCGCAACGTTCCAAGCGACGTTTGCGGATTCTGCCTCTACCGAAAACAGGTGGCTTTCTACCTTTACTTCTACCTATACTCGGGTCTCTTGGAGCTCTTGGAGGTGGTGCTGCCTCCATTGCAAAAGCTGTCAATGATGCTAAAGCCAATCAGTCACAACTTGCGGAACAGAAGCGTCATAACTTGGCTTTAGAAGCCTCTCGCAAGGTTTCTCCCACGGGAAAGGGTTTTTTTTTAGCACCGTACAAAAAAAACTGCTAAGGCACCTACCATCCCATGCGCTTTCCGATATTGAACTACTTCACTTTGCAAAACAACTTAACATTCCTTTTTTTCGAGGAGTATTCATGAAAGATCAATTACCAAAGGGTATACAGACTTGTGAAAGTGGAATTGTTAATTTGGATGACTCGTCTGGCGACGGGACTCATTGGGTTGCATACGTGAAAAATGGCAATCTTGTCTCATACTTTGATTCATATGGGAATCTGCGCCCTCCACTGCAGCTGATAAGATATTTTGGTAGCAGTGATAAAAATGTTCGCATTGTATACAATTATACTCCAATACAAAAGTTTAATGCTCACAATTGTGGACAGCTATGCTTAAAATTTTCGATATATTTCTTACTGTTACTCCTAATACAGAAGTTGCAATTCAAACGTTCTACAGTAATGACGTCCCTCACATTTACGCTGTCGGGAACTTCTTCCACTCTCCAATCACATTTTAATCCCCGCTATATCTTGATGATAATGTGGACTATGAAATCGGGTTGTGCAACTTTGAATCCTTCAATGTTATTCCCAATATAGACGAAACTAATAATAAGTTTCCATGTGACAATGAACTACTTACATTTCCTACAGGCGCATATGAAATTCGAGATATTATTGATTATTTACATCAAAATCTCCCAGAAGGGAAAATTATTAGCATTACACCTCATATGAATTCTACAACAGTTTCTCTCAAAGCCAATTTTACGATTGATTTTTCACAGAATGGTACCATTGCATCCCTTCTCGGATTTCAACCTCGACGTCTTGACCCAATCATTAGACATACGTCTGATTTTCCTGTGCAAATTTTGAAAGTGAATTCAATATGTGTTGCTTGCAATGTAGCCACAGGCTCATATTCCAACGGTGTGCCAAGCCACATTATCCATCAATTTTTTCCCTCTGTTTCGCCCGGGTATAAAATCGTTGAATCACCTCAAAATATTTTATATTTCCCAGTGAGTGTTAAAGCAATCACAACCATTACCGTCAACATTGTTGATCAAGACGGTCACATAATTAATTTTCGTAACGAGACCATTACACTTCGACTTCATTTACGATCCGGTAATAATGGGCATTAGATATTACGCGCCTCCGATCTCTTTTCCCTATAAAAAGCGAGGTCAGTCGAAACCATCTATTAGTGGTAAGCCGTCCCGCATACGCAGAAGATCATTTCGACAACAATCAACATTGCAACTTACTAACGATAATAGAAAATTTTTGGAAAATCTAGGTTTTCACGTGTTGTAGGATGAGTATTCTCAACGTTACACAAAAACCTCTTGTTGATAATTCTATTACAGAACTAGAGTATCACACTTATCAACCTTTTATCAATTCCAACTTTGACTACAACGATGACATTCGCATTGCTGTTCAAGAACTAGATGCCTATATCCTCCCATTACAAAGTCTTTTGTATCTCGAAGGAGAATTAACCAAAGCCGATGGAACTGCTGTTACTACTAAAAACGCTGATGGAACTACTGTTACAACTCTGCAATTAATCAATAACGCTTTTGCTTTTCTGTTCCGTGAGCTCCGTTATGAACTGAACGGAGTTGTAGTGGATTCCGTTCGAAATGTTGGTCTTACCTCCACCCTTAAAGGGTATCCGTCTTTTAATGAAAATGAGAGTTCACGCTTGCAAAATGCTGGCTGGTTCCCAAAAGACACTTTTATTTCTGAGTCTGGCAAGTTCAATGTTTGTATTCCTTTAAGCATGTGGATGGGATTCTTTGAAGACTATCGAAAAATTCTCCTCAATATGAAACAGGAGTTAGTATTAATCCGTAGTAGTTATGACCTTGATGCTGTTGTAGCAACTACTACATCCGAACAACCAAAAATTCGGATTGATAAGATTCAGTGGAGAGTACCCCACGTATCTGTTGACATTCCTCAGCAACTAGCTCTTACAAAAATTCTCAACAAAAACATGGAAATTCCACTATATTTTCGCAGTTGGGAACTAGTAGAGTATCCATCACTCCCTGAAACAACGCGTCACACCTGGCCAGTCAAAACTACAACGAAGCTCGAGACCCCTAGACATGTTATCCTAGCCTTTCAAACTAATAAAAAACAAGTATCTACCTCCAATATGTCACAATTTGATCATTGCAGGTTGACCAATATTCAGGTTTTCCTCAACTCCGACCGCTTCCCATATAATGATCTCTTTTTGGATTTTAAAAACCAAAAATTTGCTCTCTTGTATGAAATATACTCAAAATTCCGCTCCTCCTATTATGAGAGTGAAAATGAACCTCTGTTTTCCCCAAAAGATTTCCTTTCTATTGCCCCTATCACACATATTGATTGCTCTAAACAGAAGGAAAGTATCCAATCTGGATCGGTGGTTATGCGAATTGAATTTGAGACAAGTGAAAATGTTCCTCCGGAAACATCTGCTTACTGTCTCATCCTACACGATCGCGTTTTCACCTACAACCCTTTAACCAAAATTTTTAAACAGCGATAGAGCTTAATCAATCATGACCAATCACAATATAAATATCTTTGTTCAGACTAAATCTCCTTCATTCTCATTATGACATCATCCTACAGACAAGCTCTCAGAGAGTATTATCAGAAATTGCAAAGTTTGAAAGAAGCACTCAATTCCTATTGTCAAAGACGCATTCTATATACAAAATTCTCCAACTTACAAATATGAGTGTCGTTTTGGATGTTCAAGGATTTAAAATTGAAAATAATAAATTTCTCGCAAAAGAATTTTGCGCCTATGATGGTGTTAGGTTATGTCATTATATTTTCAAAGCTCCTTTTCCTTGGGATCTGCTGCCACCACCGTTGAAGATTCAGGCGAAGTGGTTGACTGATAATTACCATGGTATCTCCTGGAATTCAGGGTTTACACCCCTACATAAGTTTGGAAACATTATTAAACATATTGCGGATGGGGCAGACAGAATTTATGTGAAAGGACGTGAAAAAGCAGCCTACCTGAGAAACTTCACCAGCAAACCAATAATCGAGCTTGAAGAGCAGCCCCGCCTCACCCCTTCACCGGCGAAGTGTTTTTACCATACAACAGATATTTGCATGTGTGCGATGTCTAACGTTTTTCATTTGTATGAAAATTTCATCATGTCATAATTTTTGTCAATAAACATATGTTTCTTCATTTAATGTATTTTTTACCCCTTCCTCCCACATAACACTACACAATATTCCTATCTTACAATCTTTATTATTTTATAAATACATCAAAGCGTTGCTTCTTCCCCTCTATTTTTACATTACATTACATACTCGCAATTTTACTAAACCTACTTCTTACTACTTTTATACATATCACAGACATACCTAAACTTTAATAATTTACACTTTAAACCTTTCTGTAAACACTGTTTGCCTATAATCTACTGTCAAGTATTTTTTTAACACTTCTTCGACTAGTTGCACTCGCCTTTGAAACCTACATCTATCTGCCATCTCCCCGTTACTTCTTCGAGCTTCTCTATATGCATATTGCCATGCATACATGATATGTATTTTGTTTTTTGTTTCGTTGAAGGATACGGTCTTTGGAATAATACTTATATGTTCACCTTCATTGCACATGTTACTTTTGCTGGTGCACTTTTTAGTCACCCCACTACTTTTTCCTTCTACCAACATTGTCTCCACTCTCTTAAACCTTGCTTCCGTTTGCCAACAATACCTCCACCCTCTGAAACCCTGCTTCCTTCACTACTGCACCTGTCGCAATCTCCTTCTCTCCTGTATAATCCATCTTAGTCTCGCACCACGACCCATGCCTGGAGGTATACTTCTCTGCATGGGCACCTGAATCAACTGATCCGAATTAGAACCTGCTTCATCATCCCAATTCTCTTGCACTGCCACTTCCGGCGCCGGATTCCTGACTCCATATCGGCTAACCGGTGTGGTGTCCATGGGTGTTCGGGACCCAGATGGAGGATGCTGCGGTGTGGTGTTCATAGGTGTTCTGGACTCAGGTGGTTGATGCGGCGGTGTGGTGCCCATATGCGTTCTGGGCCATGGGTCGTCCCAATTTTCTTCTTCAGGATGTATTCTGTTGAATGGGCGTATAACCGCCACCGGCTTCCCCTTCCACACCGTCGGCAACTTAAATGTTTGTCTTGCACTCATTGTTTGATTCGTGCTGTCTGCTAACGACTGCCTCCTCTCCGAGCGCTGCACTAATTTAAACACATATTTCCAAGGTCATACCGTCTACCACTCACGAATTCAAGGTCACATTTCAAGGTTATATTTCAAGGTTTCATTTCAAGGTCATATTTCAAGGCCATGTTTCAAGGTTACATTTCAAGGTCACATTTCGAGGTTAAATATGCGTTCAAGGTTGGCTCCCAAGGTCGACTCTCAAGGGCGTTCTAGAACAGACAAACCCTACCTACTGATAATGGATCTGTATTAGGTATCCAATATTCAATAATATTGTTACTGACATGTAACAATGGAGCATAAGTATACGATGCAAAAGGATCATGACTTCAAGCTCCACGGATGTCAATTTATACAAGTGATAGTCTTTTTACGTAGTATACAGTGCGATTCAAAAAACAGTGGCAATATTATTATTAACAAGAAGAAAATGGATCCCTACCTTAAAAGATGTATCTAAAGCACGGATAAAAATGTAGCCTCAGATTTTTTTCAGTTAGTAGTAATAAAAAAATCAATATATTTCATGGTCAAACCGAACCAGAGGCGTAGTCACTGGGATACTTTGATCCATATGGAGAAACATGTAAAATATTTAGATATCTGTTTATTGCTTTGGAGAAGAGATCTTCACTCCGCCAAGTTTCCTTACGCACCAATGCCTATTTCAATATTCCAGTTCATACAACGTCTAAATTCAACAAATATTTTACTTACACGGTACCATATTTACTGAACCATTATGTAGAGCTTTTTGATGCACCTTCCTTCCAAAACTTCAGAAATGAGATGGAAAAAGTGCTACTACTGTTACAAAGATTTGAATAAATAAATTAAATTTATGGCGCTTGCTACGCTATCTTCCATTAACACTCAGACTATAATATATCATATTATATACTGTGTTGTGCATAATATTTGTTGTGAATACTAATCACTCTGTTGATGTTTGATAAACGCTCATCAAAGTAACTTTTTAGGGGGAGATGAAAAATGGCCGTGCCAATCCTCTTTTCTTTTGGAATGTTGTCGTTTTTATATTTGTTATGTATATACATTCCAATAAAAATTATTATTATTACTTGTTAGGCCACTGACTTTTTAGATACCATGAAAGCAATAAATTATGGACCATAAATTAAGGCAGTGCGGTTTTTTGGGCTCTTACATATATATCTTTTTAACCTTTAACCGGAATGTATACGGGATAACCCTACTGAAAACAAAGAAAAAATATGATACACCATATTTTATGTATATATGTATATATAACTTGAGACGTGGTCATTGTCGTCTAGACCAGTTAGGTGAAAAAATTAAAGCTTCCGCTTTTTGTTGGGTACTTCGACAAGATTTAAGCAAAGAGGACTCTTTATACTTTTTTTAATTCTCTCTAGCTTTCAATGGACTTTGCCATCATCATCAGGAGCTGTAATTACAATGATAACAGTAGCAACAAAGGTGTAAAATGAATTTAAATTGACTCAACTTACAGTAGTATGTGAGAATGTTGCTAATTGTTGTTTTCGTATAGGATGAGGGAAACGTCCAGTAACATGGTGAGAGCTGAATAGGTTGCACAATAGTCAAAATTTATACAAAACATGACAAGAACACGTTAAAAACAGATTAAAATTATTTTAAAAAAATTAGAACATTACATCGTGACACCACCTGATGATTGCACAAATTAGTGGTCATGGAATGATGAATTGATGAGTGACATGAAACCCTTTGACAGAAGGCCGAAGGATGTCAATGTCAGTATTGAAAGATGGAACGAATTGTGGGCGTGTTCCAAAAACGTTGCCAAATTACTTCAGATGAAGAGATTTTCAGAATTTTATGATGGAATTTGTTAAACCGACCAGAGGCAGTTGAATAAACTATATTATTATTAATGGGAATTTAAGTTAACAATTATTAATAAATCGTGAGGAGAGAATTATTATATTTTGAGTGGAATGAAATTTACTGGTGGAAACGGCCAAAACACAGATTCTAATTATGGTTGTGAAGAGTTGAAATTTGGGGAGATATGTAAGTTCTCCAATTTTTCGCAGTTTAGCAAATATGAGTAAATGACACTCAGTTGTTTAACATCTGTCTTTTTGTTGATACAGTTGTTATTCATGAAAATGTGGGACATTTCCAGGAATAAACGTTTGGAAAGGTGTTTTTCTTTATCAAGAACTTTGATACTTGTGTAATTCATAGAATGCCCTGTTGTGTTAACATGAGATGCTAGAGCGCATCTTTCAGGATGAAGCCTAGCATCACTTTTGTGTGATGTAATCCTTCCTTTAAGAGATCTGGAGGTCTGACCTATGTATATTTGGTTGCAGTTGTTGCAATTGATGGAGTAGACTGTGTTGGTTAAGCCAAGCAGCGGGACTTTGTCTTTCATTTTTGAAAAAATGCAGTTTATAGTGAGGACGGATTTGCAAGCAATTCGAAAGTTCAAAGGACTGCACAATCTGATCAGCTTAGGGGTCAGTTCCTTGATCCATTCGCACCAACAACAACAGTTTATTGGTAGACTGGTACCAGAAACCTATGGCCTCAGGTCGGTTTCTCAATTTTAGGTCATACCATAAGCTAGGGATTAAAATCAATTTGGTAAAACAGATGAAAACAAGGGTAATCAGCATCTCAGATAATACCTTCCACACCTCAAATTTACGTAAACTATCAATACTGTTCATCAATAATGGTTATCCGAAGTGTCTGATTAACAGGATCATTTTTAGTTCACCTTCCAATATTTTGCCGAACTCTGGTGATGCAAGTAATAGTCGCATAACTCCTAATAACGGAACTGATGTAATTCCCAATAATAACATCAATCCCAACAGTACTAGCACCAACCCGGACTCCAGACCTGGTTTTGCTGTCCTGCCCTACATCAAGGAACTGACCCCTAAGCTGATCAGATTGTGCAGTCCTTTGAACTTTCGAATTGCTTGCAAATCCGTCCTCACTATAAACTGCATTTTTTCAAAAATGAAAGACAAAGTCCCGCTGCTTGGCTTAACCAACACAGTCTACTCCATCAATTGCAACAACTGCAACCAAATATACATAGGTCAGACCTCCAGATCTCTTAAAGGAAGGATTACATCACACAAAAGTGATGCTAGGCTTCATCCTGAAAGATGCGCTCTAGCATCTCATGTTAACACAACAGGGCATTCTATGAATTACACAAGTATCAAAGTTCTTGATAAAGAAAAACACCTTTCCAAACGTTTATTCCTGGAAATGTCCCACATTTTCATGAATAACAACTGTATCAACAAAAAGACA